ATTACATTTGTTACAGGCGTATCTAATTTTTAGGATATAAACTAAAACCTAGAACATAGAAAACTATCATATAGATTGTCATGGCATTCTTTCCTGTTGCAAAATTAACTACGGCTTTTTTTTATTAGCAATATAGAAAATCAATTAGTTTATAGAACATGACTGATGGGTTCCAATTGAGTTCAATCAGTGCCTAGGCTCAAGTCACCAAATACGAGCGACGGTTTTATTGAAATTCTTTGTCGTCTTTGGTGGCTTTGAGCCTAAGCGCTTATTGAACTCAGTTGGAGCTTATCAGTCATTTTATGTAAACTGATTGATTCACGGTCTTACGTGGCTCTGGTTAATGTAGTCGCAAATTAGTAAAGTATTACTGAGGTAAACACACATTGTCCAAACCACTTTACTGCGTTATATTCAAAATATAGTGTGAAAACAAGAGATTACAAACTAGTTTCTTATCTCTTGCTTACAACAAATCCTTCGGAGTTTGCTTGAAACAGGTTTTGAAAGGAAACGAATTCTTAACACATGTTTATGTTAGACTGAATGCATGCCCAGAATAGTTCCTTGCGGAATATAGTTAAAATAAAGGGGAATTCATAGACTTTCAAGTATTACCTTCCCGTAGTCGCTGTAATCGATCTCAATGCAACACCAAGCCAAGATAACTGTGAAACGTATCCTAGGGAGTTCATTAAAACAACGTGTGATACAAAATAATTTTGTGCGGGTGAAATTCCGAAAGACTAGCAAAGCCATGTCAGTCGTCAGCGTTGTTGCCATTCTGTCATTTTCCTAGCCGGCGATTGGCTTGATCTTCGGTTTCAAAGAACTGAGTCGGGTTCCTTATGTATACGAATCAAACGTAACGATCACACACTTGCAGATTCCCAGCTTCTCCAGATTCAGTATACTCTACTTTTTTCGGAGAAGTGCTATACTTTTTGAAGCTGTTGCTCGTGTCCACGGGAGTCTTGTGGGTAGGTAATTGCTTAGATTTGCGAATAATTGAGTTTGCAATGACTTCTTAACGTAAGTAGGGGCTCGCTGGCAAAATAACCAGGGTTTGGCGAGCGCCTCGAGAGAAAAGTTAGCTTATTTCAGTCGAATTGTGTTGATTTATGGTCACTGAAATAGATTTCAAATATGTCAAGAGAATAAGCTTAGATTTATCTTTGCGAAAGAGCCGAAGTGTGGTAACTTTTCAATTTCAGTGCTTACGGAAAGAAACCCCGTGATCAATAAAGATCTAGGCTTGAAGTTTCTGGCTCCGGATACATATGAAACTTTTAATGAGATTCAAATTATTTGAAAGAACTTCTAATTGCTGGAAGTTCGTGTTGTGAAATCGGTTTATTCTGGAAATCGAGTCACTTTTTCTTTCAGCTCAATATAATTTTATAGATAGATTTTGAACCACCTGGCGATAAGCAAAAACAACGGAAAAGTTTAGCTTTAGTTCCACCGGCTTTGTGTTTTTGCTGTTCTTATCCTTGACAAGTAAACGTAAAAACATCTCTAAAGCACAAAAAGGCAATTATTTTCACTCTAAAGCTGTAGTTGAAAGTCTTTTGCAGAAGTTGAAATTCTTTCTGTGCTGTTCGCGCACACGTGGCGCCAAGAAACTTCTTTCCATTCTATCTCTGGCTCAACGGAATTCTTCAAAGAAAATTTTTCATGTTTTCTTTAAAACCCTAAAATTTCACCGGCGCAGCTGTCCTTATTCAACAAAGTTACAGTAATTCTTTTAAACTAGTCCGTTCAGTCTGTGCTTGTCGCGTATGATATTTACATTCAGCTGAAGTCACCTGTCAAACTCGTGTCATTATATTTTCAATGCTTCGATGGGGTGATATTCCTTTTAACCAGAACAGCTTTGACATTTACCGTTTGTGGAACTTGAGGAAACAGAAATTTTAGGAAACACAAAGTGGATTATAAAGGAGGTATCAAAACAGCTCCAAGGCAGCAACTTGGGTAATCCTATGTTTTAATTACGAGTTTTCCAAGCTTTTCGAGTTGCCAGGGTAACTGAAAGCCCTAAAGTTGCCGGAGCTGATTTTCGTGATTGTCTTATTTTGCCTATATTTATGGTATGGGGTTTAAACTTCAAGTGTTATATCACTGATAAAAGCCAGAAAAAGCGCACTGAGCGCTCTCTATTATCAACTTAGAATTCGTACAAAGGTGAGTCCAACTTTCCAAGCATCGGAATTTGGGAAGAAAGATCAAACTATTCATAAAAATTGATAAAGATACTATAAATGAAGGCAGGTATCTGAACAATGCACTTCCTTATTACATCCATATCTATATAAAAACAAAAGAGCGAGCATGGTGAAGCGGCCTGACCTGCGAGCCAGTAACACTTTTTCAGCGGTCATTTCTCTGAGGTTTTTTTCGCAGTGATGGCTTTTATGGATACGGTTAAAATTTTGGCCATTTTATGAATAACAATTAATTTCTTTCCGTTACGGTTGCCTCAAAAAAATTAAGCCTAACTTTTTAACGACGAACGAATAACGGTAAACCCCGTTGAGACCCCCAAGGAACAACATTTCGCCGGGGAGCGCTTTCCTTGTTTCCATCAGCTCTC